TGACTGATGAACAATAAGAATAAATTATTTTCTAATAAAAATAGAATAACATTAAGCATAAATCGTAACACTTCTTATGTGGTTTTAGGAGTTTCAATAACCAAATCTCTTCTCAATTTCCCAATAAAAGCAATCAAAACAACCACCACAGTCCATGACCGCCGGAACAGCAATCTCCGCCACCGGTCTTGACACGATAGACGCATAAGCCACCTGGAAACTTCCAACTTTCAACTTCGATTTATAAAACCCAGATTTTTAAGCTTTTTAGGGCAAATAAAAAGAAATTAATTCAAAAATTTGGGAAATTTGTGTTGTTCTGGTTAAATTTTACGGGTCGGGTTTTTCTTTATGAAATCGGGTTTTGATTTTTGGTTTAAGAATAATTCGGTCAGTTTACATTTGGTTTTTAAACAATAACCGAAAGTTTTGAAATCAGTGTGGGATTAGATAGAGAACTATTTACTGGTGTGAGAATCGATAGAGAACTATTTACTGGTGTGGAAATCGACTGAGAACTATTAAACGATATGGAATTAGACCGATGTTCAAACTTCATGAGGATTTGGTGATATATGATAGTTTTAAGGGGGAAATAGCTCGTCAACCCCTAATTTTGCCACAACCACTAACTGAAATACTAATACTCTTTGTTTGTACCTATCTTGTAAGTTTAAACCATCTATAGCATAAATTTAGATTTTTGGATGTCAGTTTAATCGACTTCTTCATTTCAATTCTATAAAGTTTGAAGCAAAAATTATCTTGATTGTTTTTTTTTCCTCTGGATCCGGAATAACATATGGATTAGTTATACCGGAGTTTAAGCATTATGTCTCTCGGTAAATGTTTTTTTTTCTCTGTAACTTTAGACAAGAGAGTTGAACTAACTGATAAGTGTTAAGTCACTTTATGTAAATTGGTTCTTCATATTTCACCGCTCACTACATTTAAATAAACACACATCTGAGTTAAATAAAAACTATATACACTTCATATATTAGTGAAATTGATCTTGTCCCCAAAGTGGAAAGCAAATTGGATTGATAACCAGAAGACCAGGAAGTCTGTTTTCTTAATAGTTTTCGAGTCTTTTCACATATAGTTACCGCGATCCTCGCTGTTTCACGCATAACTAGGCCCCTATGTGTGCTCTTGAATGATTTTAATCTTGAAATTGCATGCATATGTTGTTTAACTTCCAAACTAAACTGACCGAAGGGTCGAGCCTATGCAATTAACATATAGAATCATATCGTAATATTTATATATAGTCTTTATAAGGAAGTCATTCTGTATAGTTGAAACATTTCAAAAAGAAAAAAACATATATATGACACCTTTTTGTAGATTTTGGCTTTTGGACCGAGACCTATGACTCTTTTTTGTAGCGAAGAAGTATCCATATTCAAAGTTGAAACAGTCCAATCAACACAGCAAAAGTCCTTGTGCCTCTCCAGGTGATGACACCTCAGCTTTTTCAAGCTTCATGGAGTTGCCACATCATTTAAAACAAAGAGCCAATCAGAACATTTGAATTAATATCAGTCAACTTTTTATTATGACACATCAGCTTAACTAATCTATTTCTTTCTCCAAATTAAAACCTATATGCGTCAAATCCTAATTCTCTATCTTCGTGAAATCATTCTTCTTCCATGAAATCTTTATCGAAATCCTTATTCTTCATGTCTGCTGAAATCCTTAATTCTCCATTGATTTTAACCTGGGTTCATCTTAAAAAGAAGATGAGTGAGTTTTGAAGCTTTTTCCCTTTTTTTTTTCTCCACTGGCGTAACAAGGATATTTTCGGCGAGAGGCAATCCAACCAAGATGTTACTCAGAAGGGTACTCTTTCTTCTCTCTCACCTTATTCTCTTTGCTTGCATCCGAATTTTAATTGTGTTGTTATTGGTACGCATAGGAGTTTAAAACCCATTGAAGTAAACGAAACTTGTATCAAGCCAACTTAACTTTGTATGGTGTTATTTACATTTGTGTGAGGTTACTGAATTTGCTGTCAATAATTTGTTGACATATGGGTCAGCTTGTCATAAGCATGTACGATACATTCTAATTAACATAATGTTTGTGTCTTTATGTGTTTTTGTTTTGTCTTTCTGTATGACCAAGTTGTGAAGAAGTTAAAGATTGACTGAAATGGTATGTATGCTCAAACCATTACAGAAACAGCTCGGTTTGATAAGATCATACAGAAAGATGATGTAATGATCGAGAGACTGGATTAGAAGCTTCTTATGGCGAAAGCGAAACTAGAATTAGTGTCTACAGTTGAAGAAAGAATCAGTATTCTAGGTGACAATCTAACTTTTTCGTTTGAGAAGCTAAAGAATGATAAATAGGCTGCAAAGAAAGAGGAGCTTTATCTTAAAGAAGAAGGAATGATCATCAAGAAAACTGAAACAGGATTTATTGGAGAAGAGAAAGAGTTTCTTTTGGTTAATGCTATCTAACCAAGCTTGAATCAATGGTAGAGAAAACAATGGAAGCTCGAGAAATGTATCACAGCGGAATTCGACAATCATAGGTTCGAGTACTTGACTGGACAAGCTCGTCACGCTGAAGAAACTACATAGAAGGAAGCAGAAGCAGCAATGGCGTGGGCGGAAGCAATCAAGTCAATGCAAGCACTAAAGTGATTCTGATAAAGACAGAAACTTTCCAGGGAGAAAACAATGGTGGAATAAGAGAGGGAATCATTTAGGAAGCAGACTGTAGAGGAACTAATAATATATTTTCCAAAATTTTGTATATATGCTAACTTTGTAAATTTGATTTCATACTAGACAAAGATGATTTATGTATATATTAGTCATGATAAAATATTGCATTTTATAAACGTCTAAAAGTGACTAGCCCAAAAATAGTGGGTGACCATCGACGAACGAAGAAGTTTAAAAGGAACGAAGAGAAGAAACAGAGGACGGGGAAACTAATGGGATGAAGGCTAATTGATGAAACGATTAGAAGCAGAGATCAGCCATTTCAACCTCAATCGAGTTTTCCTTCCTTATTTCCATTGTTTCAAAAGTTTATTTACTGAAGGATTTCAAACAGTCGAAAATCAAAAAACCAAATGTAGAAGCTTTCTTTCCGTTAAAAAATTTGTGACAAGGAACTCAACAATTTCCCTAAAATGAAAGCGTTTCTACAATGTAACTTAAAACAAGCATTAAAATATACCGCCGCGAAGCGCGGGTACCAACCTAATATCTTTAAAATGGCTTTTATAACTTTAACTACTCTATGTGACAATGTTTAAAGATTAGTGCTATTTAGTAGTGAAATAGTTTGAAACGAAAAGAGCATCAATATATATTATGTATAGTTTTTACAAAAAAAATACTATATTATAGTCTATGTCGGCTTGTGATTATTGGAGAATTTATTGAAATGTTGGTAATGGACTCTTGCTCGTTAGAAGACAAACAAACCCGATTAACGGTTGGTTAGGGGGTGAGGAGTTAAATTTACTTGACTGACTTCAAATATAATTAATTTTGATACTAGTATTAAGTATTAGTATTATTCTTTTCTCCCACAACGCTTCCAACTACAATATTCGTAATTAACATCATCACAACTCAGTCACAAGGGTCAAGGGCTAATAAGTTAGTTGTGTAACGTAGTCTTGTTTTAGCATACTCTTTGGATCTATTTAAACTGAAAACCAGATAGTTAGAATATTCTAGTTGAATCGGATTTTGGTTTGGGAAAGATTTAGACGACGTTGATGTATTTTGATTACTTCGATATAAAACACACAAAAATATGTTTCTAACCCGACAACATCGACCACAAATTGTGTATGGCTTATCTTCTTGCGCATTACGAGTTTTTTTTACTACTAGTATAGCTGAAATTAAAGGCTCACCAAACTTTAAGAAAACTTGGGTTTTCCAAAGTTCATTGCAAAATTAAACAATTAGGAAGTCTTTCTAGGTCAAAAAGCAAAGACACTTTTCTTCGATCCTCAACATTCCCTTCACTCTTTTGCTTTATTTCCTTTGACTTTGACCTGTATTTACTTTCTTTCTCCAAATGTTACGCATAGATTGTCAAGATTTTACTACCATTGTTTTCTTTTGAAATTTCAAAATCTTCTTTTGTTGAATTGTCATTCTTGATATAGTTTTCTTCTTTCCTATCTATAGATTTTATAGATTCTTTGTAGCTTTTATACATGTGTGATGTAAGTAGTAGTATATCACAATTTAGTCTTCACACATTGTAGTGGCTCAGTACTTACTACTTTTACATATAACTTGCGTCTACAGTCTACTTCATTTCTGATAGCAATTTTTTTTTTGGTAAAAATCTGATATACTAAGTATGTTTCTGATAGCAATTTACTTAACCTTTTTGCAAGTATGTTTTTGGTCAACCGAATGATTTAACTTATCAAATTAAGCTTTCGCTAAATAAAACAAAACATTAATAGCTTCGTCTTTTTCATGTCGCACAAGCTTTAAATCTGCATTAAGTGAATTTCAGCAATTATTTGTCCACCAATTATTGGCACGTAGGAATTGGCTCGTGTGCAGGCCAATATTCTTATTGAGCCTAATTACTTTTGTTTTCTATTGGGCCATTAGTCCAATTTAATGAAACTTTGGCCCAAATTAAGGGATTTGAGATGAGAATGTAGTCTGAAAACATACGCGGGGAATTTGTAAATTCATGAAAAGAGAGGGGCCGAATTCAAAAACAAAAATTAAACCAGAGCGAAGAGAGAGAGAGAGAGAGAGAGAGAGAGAGAGAGCAAGAGAGAAAAAGAGAAAAAGAAAGAGAGTTGGGGAAAACACCCCTTCGGAGAGGATCAAAGCCTCTCCTGGGGAAGAACACGATTTTTGTTTTTGTTTTTGATTTTTTTTTTTTTAGTTTATTTATCCAGATTTTGACGAGGGATTCGTTTGATTATCGAAATTAGAGGTTTTATTGAGTTTTCTAGTGGAAGGAGGAAGAGGAAGAAGAGAAAAATGTCAGACCTAGACAAGCAGATAGAGCAGCTTAAACGCTGCGAACCATTGAAGGAATCGGAAGTGAAGGCTCTTTGCCTTAAAGCTATCGAAATTCTCGTTGAAGAGAGCAATGTTCAAAGAGTCGATGCTCCTGTCACTGTAAACTCTTTGCTTTTACAATTTTATTTTTCTCGTTCCCAGCTTCGGAATTCATCTCTGCTTATATTTGAAGATCGATTTTTAGCTAGAACCCAGGAAATTCAAAGCTTGTGACTCGAGGAATCCGAACGAAATTGAAATTGGGTTCTGCGATTTTGGGCATACTATAGGATCCAGTTTTTTGATGAAATTTCTCTGTTGCTTATGTTTACAAGTTTAAAGATTCCTTGGAGAGTGAAATTGAGGTCTGAAAAAGAGTAGATAGCATTTTTGTTCTCTCTGTCATTTGAAAGTCTAGCTTGGTGGTCGATTGATACTTAGATATTTGTGTGTATGGCTTTGGAACAGATATGTGGTGACATACATGGACAGTTCTATGACATGAAAGAGCTATTCAAAGTCGGGGGTGATTGCCCTAAGACGAATTATTTATTTCTTGGAGATTTTGTTGATCGAGGTTTTTATTCAGTTGAGACATTTCTTCTTCTTCTAGCTCTCAAGGTAATAATAAATACGCCCAACAGTGCTCTACTTTGATTTGGAACGTCTTCTAGAGTCCCTCAATCTGGTTGCTTTTTATATACACTCAGGTTAGATATCCAGACCGTATCACTCTCATTAGAGGGAACCACGAGAGCCGCCAAATTACTCAGGTGAGTTTAGTTTCAGTCTTGTTAAGAAACCTTTGATGCCTGTGTATAATTTTGTTTGCAGACTATTTAAGAGTTTTGCTTTTAGTAGGTATATGGGTTTTATGACGAGTGTCTGCGTAAATATGGCTCTGTAAATGTCTGGAGACACTGCACAGATATCTTTGACTACTTGAGGTACACTCTGGTTCTGGAGCTCAGTGTTAATTAATAATAATACTTTGGCTCAATTGTAACGAAAACTTTTTATCTTTATACATGTTGAAGTCTTTCAGCTCTTGTCGAGAACAAGATATTTTGTGTTCATGGAGGTCTCTCTCCAGCTATTATGACTCTAGACCAGGTTGAGAAAAATGCTGAGATAATCCAAAGGTTTTAGCTAGTATAAGGATTCATAACTGACTAGTTTGTCCATGCCTTTCTCTTGGCAGATCAGGACGATTGATAGAAAGCAAGAAGTACCACATGACGGTGCCATGTGTGATCTTCTATGGTCTGATCCAGAAGATATTGTAGATGGATGGGGATTGAGTCCTCGCGGTGCCGGATTCCTTTTCGGTGGCAGTGTTGTGACGTCTTTTAACCACTCAAACAACATTGATTATATCTGCCGAGCTCATCAGCTAGTTATGGAGGGTTACAAATGGATGTTCAATAGTCAATAGTCACAGTTTGGTCTGCTCCAAATTACTGCTATAGGTAACTAAAAAGTCAGAGCCATATGAATGTGATTTTAGTTTCCTTTGGCTTGAGTGTTCATGTTACTTTCTGTTCGAATGTGATGTAGATGTGGTAATGTAGCCGCAATTCTAGAGCTCGATGAGAATCTAAACAAGGAGTTTCGAGTCTTTGATGCTGCCAAACAAGTAAGAACCTGACCTATGCAACTTCCTGACCAAATTCTTGCTTGATTTGTCTGACATAGTATGACTATAATGGATGCAGGAATCTAGAGCAGCTCCGACCAAGAAACCTGCACCTGATTATTTCTTGTGAGACGGAGAACAGAAACTGGGACTCAGAATTGGTTCTTTCTTCTCATTGCAGAGCAAGAAAATTTCCCAAAATCATTGGTGCGTAGATTGTAAAATGCAGATGAATCTACAATCCAAGTGTTGCCATAGAGATCTCTACACAATCTCCTTTTTTAAGGGAATAAGGGTCCTTTGGAAAACATCCTGTTTTCCGAAAAAGCTTGTTTCTTTTTTTTGTAATGCCACTTTTACAAAAAGAAAAATAGTAAAAAGGTTTGTGAAATACCTCCTTCATGTTCCAAATGTTGCCGAAGCAAACAGCTATGCAGAAATGAGAAATTGATTTAAGGGTTAGTTACTGAACCAGCGAAAAGGATCAGACCTCGGTTTGAATGGTAAATAGTCTTTGTTCAATCATAAAACGTTGTGATCATCTCTAATTACTGAATTCCAAAGAAGTGTCTGTTGACCGTAGTCATGTCTAGCTTGTATGTCTGAAAATTGGTTTACCAAATGGCTTTTTAGTTTACCAATAATATGAGATTGAAATGTTTAGTTTTGACTTGGAGACGCTTTGAAGAGAACTCAAAAAGTAATTGATATTTGAGCCTGAAGATCGTTACATTTTTCATAATCTGCTTAAACACGAGAAGGCAAAACAAAACTACTAGAAGAAAAGTCTACGAGGAGAAGATGATTTGGTGGAGATAGTTGCAGGAGACTGTTTCTGGTTAGGCATTCCTTTGTTCTCTTGTTGGCCTGATGATCCCATTTTGTCGAGGAGTTTCGCTGCTCTTGGATCAGTCAGAAGTGTCTTCTGGAATGACTGCGAAAATCCAGTGGCGATGATCGTCACATGAATCTCTCCGGTGTATCGATCATCCACAACAGCTCCAAATATGATGTTCGCCGATGGGTCTGCCAAACTTGTCACCACCTGCAAAAATGCCCCACAAAAACATGTCAAGACTGCGCATTTTAATATCGGTATACACACAATTGAAGAGCGAACCGGAGTAAACCAAACCGCACCTGAGACACTCGGTTCACTTCCTGCAATGTAATGTCTCTTCCACCGGTGATGTTGTAGACGACGCCAGTAGCTGATTGTATGGATGATCCAATCAATGGAGCCAAAGTGGCTTGCTCAGCTGCTTCTTCTGCTCGGTTCTTGCTGGAAGAAACACCTACCCCGAGCATTGCTGTTCCTGAATCTTTCATAACCGCCTTCACATCCGCAAAATCTACATTCACCAGTCCAGGTATCTGGAAAAGAAGAACAACAGCTACTGTTATCCTCAGGATCTAGATTCATCAACAAAAACTTGTTAAGCTTTACACTCACAGTAATAATATCCGAGATGCCTTGTACTCCTTGGCGTAAAACATCATCCGCGAGAAGAAAAGCGTCCTGAAGAGGTGTCTGTTCATCAGCAATATCCAGGAGACGATCATTCGGAATCACGATAAGAGTATCAACATTCTTCTGCAGCTTTTCAATAGCTTCCAATGCCTAAAGCAAAAACGAAACCAAAATTAGGCCATGGATCACTTAAACAAATTCAAAAGCAAGAAAACAGTACCAACACATTTTACCTGCAAAGATCTTTTACGCCCTTCGAAGCTAAACGGATAAGTAACAACACCAACAGTCAAGTAACCGGCGTCTTTGGATATCTGAGCAACGACAGGTGCAGCACCAGAGCCTGTGCCACCACCCATACCAGCAGTTATGAAAACAAGGTCTGATCCTTTAAGAGCATTAGCAATTGCTTCCTTTGATTCTTCTGCAGCTTGTTCTCCTAGAAGCGGGTTTCCTCCAGTACCTGTTTCATAACACAAGTTACAGTGTCACTCAAAACTCACACAAAGTCTTTACTAATAAAGATAACGTTTTCTTCTCTGTTTTGAGAGACTAACCAAGTCCACGAGTTAAAAGCTCTCCAATTTGAAGCGGGTTCTCTGCAGATGACTGCAACAGAGCTTGAGAGTCCGTGTTTATCGCATAGAAATCAACACTCTGGAAAAAGGAGAAAATCAATCACAAATCAATTTACTCACTAAATCTAGAATTTTTCAGGTCAAATCGAAGTAAGAAGAGATTGAAAAATGTGACCTGCAAGCCGCTGGAAATCATCCGATTGACGGCATTGTTACCACCACCGCCGACGCCAATCACCTTAATTCTCGCGGACTCCATCGGAGAGAAGGAGCATCTCAGCCGCATCGGCTTGGACTTGGAATCGCTTCTTCGTTTTGAGAAGCCGACGCCGAATTTACTGATTCCGGTACTTGCGCAGACGCAGCTACTACGCAACGAATGGGATATCGATTTCGGTAGAAATGAAGACGACGGGGAAGGAATAGTTCGCTCATTGAGCTGCGCCAACGGACTAATCGCCATTTTTTTATTACTCCTCTGATTTCAGAGAGGAAAGAGAGATAAACAAAAGACAAAAATGGTTTTTCCTTTTTTTAGGGTTTTAGTGTCGACGAAAGAAAAATAAATATCAACAGTTCAGTGTTGTTCGTTCTCTCTCACAAAGGAAAGCTACAGAAATTCGAGTGGTCCCTTTTAGTTTCTCTGGCTAAAACGACATAGTTTCACATGAATACTGCAACATTAGACAGAATCAGAAGCCAAGATTGTATCATAAACATCGAAAATTTCATCAGGTGTTAACCTTTCAAGACATTATTTCATCAACAATCCAGTTTGCGAGTCTTTTTGAGGTTTCTCAGCTTGTTTGGGAATAGAATGAGAAGTGAATTACAAAAGAAAGTTTCAATAGTAAAGAGGCCAAAAGATTTCACCACCAAAGATATATGAATTACAAACAAGACAAAACAGTTTCAAAGATTGAAGATACAAAAGGATCGGACAGAAGCTAGCACCCCAGTATTTCTCACTTTGCGTCATAATTTTCTCTAGTTTGAGGACATTCGGTTTCTTTGCCTGAGTAGAGGATTCTACTCTGTTTCGCTTAGGATTGGTACAATCAGTGGATTCATCTGTGCAATATATACAATTGCCCACCTACCATAATCAAGAGACCAAAAGTAAGACAAGTGACCAAGCAATCAACATATGTTTAAAGACCAAGCAACATATCAAACTCTGACACTCAGAAAGCTACTAAAGATAAACGACCAATGTTCATGAGTTCAGATATATCATACGTTAGTTTCCAACTACTACAATCGTTGATTACTTTGTTTCATTTCTGTTGATATCCACAGGTAAGCAAATAGGATTGATCTCTTTTGATGGTTTATGGATTAAGGAGAGGAAACAATCACAGGTCTTTTGGTACCGAGAAAAACCAAGGAAGAAGAAACACATTATATTGTAAAATGCAAGCTAATGGCTAGAGAGCAACAGAAAGAGTGTATCAAACATAAACTTACATCATCCAACAGCAGACCGTCGCGGTCATGACCAAGGTAAGATGTAGCCTGAACCAAGACAACCAAAGATTAGAGATTTACAATATGCAAAGCATGGTTACAAGGAAATATAATAAGGAAGACAGATAAAATAATAAGGTTTAAAGCTTGATGAAATATACAGAGAAATGCAAAGAATTGCAGTAAAAGTATAAGAGCTTCTGAATTTTCATGGCACAAGAATGCAATTGTGATGTTTGTTTGTTGCAGATATTATGACACAGCAAAGATCCAATTCAACGAAAATGGAAACTGTTCACAAAAGTCAATGAATCATTATCACTTCATTTTCCAATTCTCAATTCCAGGAGTAAGAAACTATTGGATTCCAGCTATTCGATCTTTACTAGAAAGATTGAGAGATCCATACGATGTCAAATTATACACGAATTTTGGCAACTAATGTAGATGCAGCAATCAATCTAACCCTAACCAACGGCTAATTATTACCCCAGCACTGAGAATTCGAATCAAAATATCAAAATACAAAAAAAAAAAATGAAGGGGAAGCAGAGGGAAACATACAGATTCGTGGAGGGACCTTTGTTGCAGCAGATTCTAGCGCATAAGGCAGCAATGATCCCAACGACGATGAAGATTAGGGTTGTTACAAGGAAACCCATTTTTGATCCTGATCTGACAGATATAATTCCTGCGACGACAACTACACGTGATTCAGGGTACAATAACCTCAACGCGATCGGCACAATACGATCGGACAAGAGTAAAAGAGAAAGTATCTGAGATCTCACAGATTGGAATGAAAGCTCCTCTTGGAGGAGGACGATGGTGTTTCTTCGTGCGAATCCCGGTGATCTGAATATTTTGGATCTCCGTGCGAGTTTCAGAATTTTGTGAGGGCAAAATAGGCCAATCCAATTTTATCTTCAAATGATAGGTCAAAGTCAAACACAGTAATTATTATAATTTTACTCTTTTCTTGATTGGCTCAATCTACATAGTTTACATCTTTTTATACAATTTAAGGAAAAACATTCTACAACTCACAAGATAGTAGTTGTGCAAAAACGAAAGCTAAGCAAGTTTTTATATTCTTCCAAATTTATAATTTCTTTAATCATGTCAAGAGTAAGATAACATTCAAATAATGGTAACAACAAAAGAGTTACATAACTAAGGAAACAACATATTGAATTTTGTTTTGAAGATGAATAGAAGAAAAAGCCGGTTTTCTCTTTGCTCTCGTCTTATTCAAGCTTCTATGCGTCTCCATACTTGCTCCATCTGAGAAAGCTTTCTCTCTACACCTACCCGGACACAGCTAGAATCTGAACTCAGGTTCTGCGTCCATTGCCCATGCAAATTTCTCCAGAAGCGACTTGGTGAAAATCTACAACCAGAAACAACTTTTTGAGTTAGCAAGGAAAAATGCAAACCATCTTGAGAGTTTTGTCTGTGGAAAAGCTTTTACCTTTTCAATTGGCACTTCATGACGTTTACACCAAGCAACAGTGATCCTAGGGTCCAGGTAATTGATCTTGGACGTGCCCAGCGCCACAGTTTTCAAGTCCTCTTTTGTGGTCATGTCTCGTTCCATCCTCTCAATCTTATCTTTGTGTTGAGCAATCTTCTTCTCCCACCTGCAATCACAACATTCACAGGGCATCATAAATGCTAAATACAAGATAGATGATATCTACAGAAGTAAAGGGGAGAGTTAAGTTACGCGTTTGGATCTAAGCTTCTGATCTTCTTTCCATCGGAACCTTCCAATGGTGGTTTTCCCTCTTTAGCCCGCTTGAGATTAGTTTCGAGTTCTTTAAGACCCTCCTGCAGAATTTATAAGGCATAGGATGAATCAAGCAGAGAACTCTTCAAAAAGTTAGCGCAAAAGCTTATATGAGATATTTCACCTTGAGTTCTTTTATTTTCCCATCCAATTTTTCGATTTGTGCTCCATGCGACTTTGAAACAGCACGCTGATGATTGCATATTATGGCAACCTGAAAGAGCGTGAACCAGTATTTTTATGAATCTTATGCACTGATCTAGAAAGCGACATGAGAATGAGCAATCTTTTTTACCTTCTTGTTTGCTTGTTGGTAAACTAATACTTTCGGACCAACATCGCTGGCTTTAATATCTTCACTCAACTGTTAACACACATCAAAACAGAACATAGCTGTGAAAAAAAAGTGGAAAGGAAAGCAATGGAGAAATATGAATACTTGTAAACTGGTTGGTTACCTATGACTAAATTGTTGCATAAGTCCAATGTAAACTAAAAAACCAAAGGATCTAAGATTTTGAACGTACCATCTTATCCAAAGTGAAGGATGCATTATATGTACGGAATACTTTGGCTGTGAGACCAGGTACAAGCTCCTTCAGATGAGCATTCAGTTTATTTGTGTCTAACTCATCAAAAAGATCATCGGCTTCGGATTTTCCTGGATGGGGCAAGAAAAGAAAAACAGTTTATGGTTCAATCACGAAAAGAAACCACCTGTGGGATATACAATGTCAAGTCAATATCTTACCAGCCTGGAACTGTCCAATGGCCTTGTAAACAGGAGCCTCAACCTTGACTGTGTTCTCATACCTGATTGAATCTTTACCCAGGAAATCAAACTGTGTACATATGAAGAAAGAGGGAAAAGTATGAGATTATAAGTCTTTAGCCCAAGATTAATAAACACATGTTATTGACTTTCACAAGTGTCTTCTCGTTATGTATATGAAACCAGCACAAAACTTCCATGATCAAATTAATACCTTTATTAAATTTGGAGGAATACACTCCACATTTCCGACTTTTAATGTACAACAACCAACAGTGTCGGCCTCATCATCATCCTACCAATCAAGAAAGAGAACATGAGACTTCTTCAGGAAAATGTCTGCTTACACGCCAATTAATTGTCAGAAATCATTTGCTTAAAATCGCCTTATCCAATTTGCAAAATACTAGTTCAAAAATTTACCTTCTCATTTCCAGCTCTAAGCGCCAATTTATCAATGAGATAAGTAGCCACCGCAATTTGCCTCTTTGCAACATCCTTAGAGGTAAAATTCTTGGTGTAAGTTGCTCTAATACTTTCTATGTGGTTCTGCAGTCAAAACAAAATTTGTTGTTAAAAAGGAAAAACAATAATAAGAGTAAGCACAAGCTTCATCAAAACGGAAAAAATGAGTACCGTAAGATTCCTGGCTTTCTCATACTTCTCCTTGTCGCTCTGCCCTTTTAAAGCACTGCCAGCTCCCAGAAATACATATTTGAATTCTTTCGGGTTAATAGGATCATTCCAGAAAGCTAGCCAGGTAACTGTGTTATCATGCTTTACATCTTTCCATCTGCAAAGTCACATCTCTCATGGGTTAGTAAGATCATTAGGTAATGTTTTCTAATTTGGAGGAAAACCATGGAGAAAACAAGACCTTTCACCAGGGATTGGACATTCTGGAATTGGAGCACCTTTCCCAATATTGATGGTGATCTCAGATGGACGGATACGCCTCTTTAACTTTCCCATCTGAAAAAACAGAGTAGACAAGTTTTTGTTAGAGAAAACAGAATAAACCATGCCTTAACTGAAGCCACCACGTCAAGATATGTTGTCTCTAAGAGACAGTAATAACCTTGGGGTGTTCTCCACGGCCTCTGAAAAGCCCAGGCGGTTCAACTCTGAAGTTACCAACCTAAGGATAGACAAAAGTCTGAGTGAGGAATTCTGGTTTGGGAAATGGGAACAATTAAAAAGCTATGGGGAAAACTCACCTTCTCTTTGACACCGTCAAGAAAAGCCCACATATATTTCTCCTCTAGCTTCAGCTTCTCCGCTTTCAAAGCTTTTTTCTCCTGTACCATGTCAAATCAATTTTCATCTACTGTCTCTTCTTGAATATATTACACAATAAGCAAACTAGGCCTGTGACACCAATGTAATCAGCCACTACATTAACAAATTCGAAAGAGGCACACTATTCACCTTAACAATAAGATAGCATTAACTAAGATCAGTATCCTTGTAAGCAAACTAATCTAAATGCATTCCGACTTGGGACTAGATATGGAATTATTTGTGACAGAACCAAGGAAGACAAAGGCAACAAAAAAAAAATCTCTTTTTTAATCACCTCTGTACTCATTTGTTTCTTCTTCTCTTTTTCTACCAAATGCCACTCATAAATGGGAGTAAAGTCACAATCATCCAACTTCTGTATCACATGTTTCTTCCCAAGCAGTACTCGCCAGTCATTCCAAAAATTGTCTCTAAATTGAGGTTTGTTATAATATTCTGTCTCTCTCATCACTGCAAACATTGTAGCAACCTGTACAAATCAACATATTAGTGAGATTGAGGTGGACGAAAAATGGAAGCAGGTATATAAATAGTAATATCGAGGATGTGGAATGGACTGGCTAACCTCCTCTTGTTCAATTGTTAGGTCAACTGGCTTCCCCTTGTACAAAATCTTGATGCCATGAGGCTTGTACGGAGGTGGAAAAATTACACCGTTGTGCACCAAGGTAGTCCATTTCTTTTGCCCATCACCAGAGGAAGGTGAAGATTTAGAGGACTTGGAAAAATTTGAATCCTTCGTTACTTTCTTGGAGTTTTTCTTCACTGTCCTGGACGGAGGAGAGACTACTTTTGTTGCTTTAGGCTTTGCACCTGATGAGCTAGCATTTTGTTTTACTGCTTTAGGCTTTGCGGATGATATTTTACTGTTGGAGGACTCTGATTTGACTCGCTTGGATAAAGGAACATCATCATCACTACTATCTTCTCTGTTGGATAACTGTTTAGCTTTCATTGGTTTGGGTGACACCAAGACCCTTCCCTTAGCATCAGAACTCTCTGTTTTAGCAGAATCTTGTTTCATTTTCGCTAAAGTTGGTGAAGCTGAGACCTTGGGCTTCTTCAAGGAAGATTCACCTGTAGAAATATCCTTCTCCAGAGGTCTCTTACCTGATACCTTACAGTTAGGTACTTCATTCTTAACTGCAGAACCATTCTGATGCAGCTTTTTAACCAACGGTTTCTTTTCCTCAACGGAGACCTGTTTGCTACCTGAAATTCCACTACCAATCTTCTTTTGCAACATTGATGAGATTGGAGCTTCATCATCTGACTCATCTTTTACGATTCTATCACTGTTCTTTTTCTCTGGCTGCGGTGAAGTAACCTGCCGCGAAGAGGCTGGCCCTTTATTTGGCCGACTTGAACTCCCAGACAGTATGGAAGTTAAAGGTCTATCATCATCAGAATCCTCACGCTCTCTTTTACATTCAGACTGGTCTTTACGTGACTGGTTCATGCCCTTCCCAGCAGAGGGCGTATCGTTCCGCAATGGTGACTTCGCTGGTGAAGCCTTAGAGGAAGATGATGATGGCATTGAGGATTTCACTGTAGAAGTTCTATTCAACGGAGTGGTTCCGTTTGGGCTAGTCACAGGAGAAGATCTCATAGGTGAAACCTTGGTTGAAGGAACAGCCTTGCTTCTCTGAGGAGTGGATTTTGACTGATTCGAGTTAGAAGCAACAGCGCTTCTCCTATGAAACACTAAAGGCTTGTCATCATCGTCGTCGTCATACCCATTCTCCACCACAGGTTTTGGAACAGTTTCGTTGGCCATACCCGATGGAACAACGTTGACAAGGGCACAAAACAACTTCTGATCAAGAGGCAAACAAAGCAAAGAAATGTCAGAGCTTCCCAAAGAAGGGCAGACAAACACCATTATTGACTACAAACAGCAAGATGTTATCACTACAGATAATGAGTAATTAAACCAATAAAGAACATTTTGGCATATATATTCATGCATTGCAAAGGATTTAACGCGCATGTTTCTCTATGCAACTAAGACCCACATTTTACGACTAAAAAGAGACAACATCGCAAACGAGATGAACACTTAATTGGATAACAACACAAATTGAAGAATCAGGCGCAGTGGGAATACCAAATCCCCAATTCGGTAGACGAAACCCTAATTTGTGTTATAACTTCGTATTGATCAAAATTGAGCTGAATGCAATCAAATTTCGGTGGGTAAGCGTCGGATTGAAGAATCTACCTTCTTCCAGCGATTGAAGAAATTGATAAGCGAAGCGTATCTCGCCCGTTTCTCTGTGATTCTGCTCTGGTGGGTTAGGTTTCCTCCTTAAGGACGCCGAAGAGACTAAGGCATGAGGAGACTCTAAACGAGCTAGAGAGTTCCACCGCTTGAGGGTTTTGGGTTAACGATGTCGTATTGTGTCCCGCCAAGTCTACTATTTTACCGCTACCGGTTTTGATTCTTCATGTTAACCGCCAGAGATTACAAAACTTTTTCCACTTTTACCGCCATAAACTTTTTATTGCCAAAAGTTTGTCTTTTTGCACAAAGATATCGATTAAAGTTATTTTACTAAACATGTTATTTTTGTACTGTATTAACAACATATATACAGTAATTGAATTATTTTATTAAGTAAAAAATTGTAACTGGTTTTCTATAAAACATCCAACAGATTAGTCTTTTGGTTTACAGTTTACTATCAAGAGAGAAGAAACCACTTTTACAGGTTTTGGTAGGGTTTCTTTCTTCTTCTCTTTCTCTCTATCTCTGTAAATGTATGGTGAATGGTTAGGTGAAACTGGCCACAACGAAAGCTTAATCAGAATCTGAACTCAGGATCAACGTCCATTGCCCAAGCAAACTTAGCCAGAAGAGACTTGTTAAATATCTGCCATAGAAAGAACAAAAAGTTAGACAAAAAGTAAGTTTCTAAGTGTTGCAAATCTGTGACCTTGTTGAAGCTCTTTATATACCTTCTCAATGGGAACATCGTGTCGTTTGCACCACGCGACACTGATCCTAGGATCCATGTAATTTATCTTAGACGTGCCCAATGCCACAGTTTTCATATCCTCCTTCGTTTGCATATCTCTTTCCATCTTTTCGATCTTAACATTCGTTTGCATTATCTTCTTCTCCAAACTGTAGTGTTCACATTGCAGTGTTATTTAAAAAGATGTTTGCGAGATATAAGTAAAGGTTTGTGAGTGTAAATAAAGGTTGAGATATTACGCTTCCGGTGTCAAATTCCTCTTTCTCTTCCCATCAGAGCCCATTAATGGTGTTCTTCCTTTCTTAGCCCTCTCTAGATCGATATCCAGCTCTTTTATTTGCTCCTGTAATAAGAAATACAAAGATAATGAGACTGAGAAAGTTGAAACTGTTTTTGATCAAAAGATGTTGGATATGGTTATGTTTATTTACCCTTAGTTCTTCTATTTTCACAGCCAGCTTCTCGATTTGTGCTCCGTGAGATTTTGAGACAGTACGTTGATGGTTACAAATGATGGCGACCTATGGATATAAGTTATAACCAACCAATTCAGATGATAACAATCTCTTAATCATTTATGAAGAGAATAGCAGAGAGATTTATCGCCATAACCTCCTTGTTTGCTTGCTGATAAACCACTACTTTTTCAGGAACCTCGCCATCTCTGGTTTCTTTACTCAACTGTCACAACATCCAATCAAAAACAGCTTTAGGAGAAGAAAAAAAATCTACATCATTAGGATGTGACAAATGATACATTTATGTAATCATCTTGTATCAGTATGTTTCAGATCGACACATTAGGATAAGTGTTACTAAGATTGGCCAAGCATATAAAAGGGGTCTGCAGACATACCATGGCATCCAATGTGATGGATGCATTATAAGTACGGAAGACTTTGGCTGTGAGACCAGGCATAAGTTCCTTAAGATGAGCATTGAGTTTTGAAGTATCTAGCTCATCAAAGAGATCATCGGTTTTCGATTTTCCTGGATAGTAGACAAATCCCTGAAGTCAGTTATCCAGTTTCCAAAGGTCAAGTTAGATAACCGATTAATCAATCACTAACTAACCCGCTTGGAACTGCCCAATTGCCTTATAAACAAGAGGCTCAACCTCAACTGTGTTTACATACTGAATGGAGTCTTTACCGAGGAAGTCAAACTGAAAATGCCAAAGCAGGATACCATGAGTAAGTGTAATATGCAACCAATAAGCCAAACATTCTAAAACTCTTGCAGATACATTCTGCAGTCAATTTTTTCATGTTGAGATGAGATCAAGTACTTACCTTTAACTTATTTGGAGGAATACAATCCACGTTTCCTACTTTCAATGTACAACAACCAACAGTATCTGCCTCATCATCATCCTATACAAAAATAAATAAAAATGAGAAACTGAATAAACAAAAGGATCTCTTCCATTGAGGAAGTATCTTTGTTAAATTACCTTTTCATTTCCAGCCCTAAGGGCTAGCTTATCAATGAGATATGTAGCAACTGCAATTTGCCGCTTTGTTATATCCTTGTTACTAAAATCTTTAGTATATGCTGTTCTAATATGACCTATACGGTCCTGCAAATTAATGATAGGTTGCTGATTAGAAAAGGGAAAGCATGATGGCTTACGCAAAAGCTGTAGCCGAATCAAAAGCTCATTTACCTTTAGCTTCCTCGCTTTCTCATACTTCTCCTTGTCGCTCAGTCCCTTTAACGCACTGCTAGCTGCCAAGAATACATACTTAAACTCTCTTGGGTTGATAGGATCATTCCAGAAAGCAAGCCATGTGACAGTATTGTCATGCCTAACTTCTCTCCATCTGAAAAGAAACAGCATTCTCTAATCAGGTCACAGAAACACACAATAAATGTGTCTTTTTCAAAGGGAAGCACAAAAATAAAAGACCTTTCACCAGGGATAGGGCATTCTGGAATAGGCGCCTCTTTCCCAATGTTGATTGTAATATCACAAGGACGAATCCGCTTCTTCAGTTTCCCCATCTAGAAAATAATAATGCAGAACAGAGAATTACTATAATGAGAAATAACTACGAAAACTGTTCTAAATGTGATGTGGACTAAAAACAAATGCAGCAAAAGATACCTTAGGATGCTCTCCCCGGCCTCGAAACAAGCCAGGGGGCTCTACTCTGAAATTTCCAACCTGCAATTGTTGCAAATTCTGGTCAGCAAACTCCCAGAAGATGGAGATAGATCCCTATCAACAAAAAGAAGATTACCTTCTCCCTGACACCATCAAGAACAGCCCACATGTATTTCTCTTCCTGCTGTAATTTCTCCTCTTTCAATATCTTTTTCTCCTGCACATCATTAGCATTATGATATTATCAACATCAGCTTCATCCGGATAGCATACTAACGAACTTTTATCCAGTTAGAAATTGATTATTTTACTTCTGTACTCATTTGTTTCTTTGCCTCCTTCTCCTGCATGTACCAGTCATATATGGGACTGAAGTCACAATCATCTAAATTTTTAATCACATGGTTCTTTCCAAGTAGTTTCCGCCAATCATTCCAGAAATTCTCTCTGAACGTTGGTTTATTGTAATATTCTGTTTCTCTCATCACCGCAAACATAGATGCAACCTGCAGATAGAAATGACCATATTATCAGCTTACCACTCATGAACTAAGAGACTGCATACAAAAACTATCATGCGGCAGAAAAAAGGACCTCTTCTTGTTCAGGGGTTAAGTCAACTGGTTTCCCCTGATACAATATCTTAACCCCGTGACACTTATACGGAGGTGGAAAAATAACACCATTGTGCTCTAGAGTTCTCCATTTCTTCTGCCCATCTCCAGAAGGTAACGACTTTGATGATTTCGAGTACTTAGAATCTTTCACCCATTTGTCAGGCTTCTTAGCTATCGCTCTGGATGAAGAAGCTATCGCTTTACTAGCATTAGGCTTCACGTTTGACGATTTATTGTTTGAGGATTCTGGCCTCACTCTCGAGCCAATAGGGACATGATCCTCTTCATCTGAGCTATCTTCTTTAACAGTTACCTGGTTAGCTCTCAGCGGCTTTGATGCATCCAGGCTCTTTCCTTTGCTATCTGGCGTAGCTGCATTACGTGAACCTTGCTCACTTTTCACTGGTCTAGCTGGCTCTGACAGCTTAGGCCTCTTCACAGAAGATTGACTTGAAGAGCTTCCCTTCTCAAGAGGTCTCTTAGCAGGTGCTTGAGAATTATTATTCCCTTCAATCTTCGGTTTCAAACCATTCCGATTGATATTGTTAACCAAACGTCTCTTTTGCTCATTATGAACAGGCTTGCTACTTGATGCACCTACACTGGTCTTTGTCTGCACCGTTGAAGACATGTGAGCCTTCTCATCTGAATCTTTCTTTCTACTGTTATCATTCACTCCCTGAGGCCTCACGTTGCCCTTTTGTACTGGAAGCTGCGAACTACCACGCAGAGAAGAACTCGGCTGCTCTTTAATCCTCGCAATCAAGGGCTTATCATCCTCAGAATCCTCATCATCACTTTTGGACACAGATGGAGCTTTTCCCAGACCGTTCCTCTCCTTAGCAGCAACGGATCTTTCGTCCCGCAACGGCGACTTCACCGTGGAACGGTTAGCAGATGAGGATGAAGGTAAAGACGGTTTCATCATCGAGTTTCTTGCGGATGAAGAAGCTGATCTGTTCGGGCTTGTTAAAGGAGACCTCACTGGTGGTGGGGACTTGGTAGAGCCAAGAGTCGAGTTTCTCTGAGCAATATTATTAGGATTTGAACGATTGGAGGAAGATGATGTTGTGTTACTGGTTCTCTTGAAAACCAAAGGCATTTCATCTTCATCATCATCTTCGTACCCGTCGTGACCATTTGGTACAACAGGTTTCACAAACGCCTCAGTGGCCATATCCCAACAAGGCAAGTTATTCACAATTCACTGCTGATCAACAAATGATAAAAAAAAAGGAAAGATATTAAATTTTGGTCTATAACTGCAACAAAATCGAAATAACACAGACTTGAACAATAATTTCTCAAGCTTTTGACTTTTGAGACAGAAGCTTTCTCATATATATGCATCAACACATTTCAATAGTCCGATCAAAACAAAATGGGAACTTCAACATCTTAATTTAAGCGCTTAACATATATATAAAATCGAATCAAGTCAAATTTCACAGGTTTGGTATCTCAATGAATTGGATACGATGATATAATTGAAGCTCATTTGTACAATTGAAAACTCGAATTCCCAAAATGGAACGAGAAACCCTAACATTGAAATCAAACAAAAATTTGTAGAAATTGAGCTCAAATTCGACAGAAAAAATCTGGACGTTGATTGTCGAATTGACGCAATTACCTTGGGCCACGATGAAATCGGCGATGAAGGCTGAATTGAATCTCAGGACAGAACTCACGGATTTCTTACCTGCCTTGATTTCTGTCCGTTTTTTGTGTTGTAGAGGCTAAGTTAACCAAACACTCCGTATGGATCAGTGGGTTTGACCCCTTGACTTCAATACTTATACGGCGTCGTATTTAGGGAGTGGAGATTATTTTCCTTCCAACCTTTACTTGGGTTGGCGAATCAAGGCCCATTCTGGGAAATCCATTAACTGTTTTGGGAAAGGAATAAGCTGCATTTTTAAAAAGCAAAAACAAAGAAAAGGAAAAATAACAAGAACATGAACTCCATTTGAATATTTATTTATATTTAGAAGAAAATACCAATAATCTTATGATAGAAATTTGGATGCATATATTAATTTTTTTTCTGAGACTGTTACTGTTTTACATGTATTAATTTTAATATTAAATTATATAATATATTATTTCGATTTAAAATCTATCTCTTAGTTAAATATCTAAATTTTTATTTTAATATTCAAAAATATATTAGAAAAATTTCTATTTTATTACTAAAAATCAAAAATTTCTAATTAAAAAAAATATCAGAGCATTCATGTATCATCCACAAATAATAACTCAACTGTTTTGAAATTTTCAAAAATATTCGTGTATCATCTAGATAATCTAAAAGGTATTTGATAGATATGTCAAACTTGTACATCCTTGTTGTATTTGATGGCCGTATTATATATATATATATATATATATATATATATATATGATACATGATCGAAGTTCATGTTCTGGATCACTAGGAGGTTCTGGATCGAAGTCCGTACATCCCCTAGGCCCGAAACCACATCATGTAATATTGGTTTCGTCCCAAGCGGCATTCGATCATGTGACCTCTAAGATTTGCCTAGGGTCTCTTTACCAATCGAGCTATAGCCACTTGGTATTATATTAAAGAAAGCATATTTTGTCTTTTAATCCACAATTTTTTATTTCTTCATAATTCCTCAATTCTACAATTCCTCAATTCTTCAAACCTAACTGGTAACATATAAAAAGCATTCCACATCATTCCACAAATTGAGCTGGATTCCACATTTGCCAGTTAGCTAGGCCCCAAGATAATTAAGAACTACAGTAGAAACTCTATAAATTAATAATGTTGGGATTTTGATATTTTATTAATTTATAGAGTTATTAATATATAGATTTTGACTAAAAAATATTTTAAAAAAAAGAAAATTCAATATTAGTAATCTTTTAATTTTTCCTTCCATTTTAATAAAAACTTTTCTTTATACGTAAATTTTCTTAACTTTTTTTGAAGTTTCTATGTTTGCTTTATACATTTTCTCATATTTACCATATTGTTTTAAATTTCATATATATTTAGTGTGTGAGAGATTCATATTTTAGCAACTAGATATTTTAGGTATATATATATATATATATATAATTTTTTATATGATAATTATTAATTTATAATATTATTGGACCATATTTTACATAGGAGTTTAGAAAAAATTATTATCTTATTATCTTATCGAATTATGTCATATTTTACACCGGCCCAACTCAGGACCAGAAGAATTTATTAATTTATCGCGTTTATTAATTTATCGAGTATTAATTTATAGAGTTTATACTGTATCTTTATTTTATTTTTCTTTTTTTTTAACGATCGAATTTAAGTCACCTGCGTGTAGGGGTGTCAAAATGGGTAACCCAACCCATCCAACCCATTATCCAAGTGGATTTAGTGCTAATGGATCATGGATTAATCCAATCCATTTAGGAAATGGGTTGGTTTGATCCATTATCCATTTAATTAGATGGTTTTAATGGGTTAATGGATGATTGATCCACAAACAAATATAACTAAAAATTTATATATATTAAAATAAAGATAACTAAACAAAATCTATAAACATCACAAAAATCTATAACCCATTAAATCTGTAAAATCGTAAAATCATGTCTTTCCGCCAAAATCGTAAATCACATCTTTCCGCCGAAACCGTAAAATCGCAAAACACGATTTTTCATCAAAACCGTAGAACCACGTTTCCGTCAAAAACATAAACTCACTGTTTTTTGCAACGTAAAATTGTGATTTATGCACAAAACAGTAAAATCACGTCTTTCTCCCTAAACTGTAAAATCACGTTTTTCAACCAAAACCGTAAAAATCAGTTTTTCCATCAAAACATAAAATCACAACTTTCCCCAAAAACCATGTTTTGCGGTTATGGCGGAAAACCTTGATTTTGCGGTTTTGATAGAAAACCGTGATTTTGCGGTTTTGGCGGGAAACCGTGATTTTGCGGTTTTGGCGGGAAACTGATTTTGCGGATTTTGGCGGGAAACCGTGATTTTGCGGTTTTGGCGGGAAACCGTGATTTTGCGGTTTTGGCGGGAAACATGATTTTGCAATTTTGGCGGGAAACCGTGATTTTGCGATTTTGGCGGGAAATTCGTGATTTTGCGATTTTGGCGGGAAACTCGTGATTTTGCGTTTTGGCGGGAAACGTGATTTTGCGATTTTGGCGGGAAACCGTGATTTTGCGATTTTGGCGGGAAACTCGTGATTTTGCGATTTTGGCGGGAAACTCGTGATTTTGCGATTTTGGCGGGAAACTCGTGATTTTGCGGTTTTGGCGGGAAACTCGTGATTTTGCGGTTTTGGCGGGAAACTCGTGATTTTGCGGTTTTGGCGGGAAACTCGTGATTTTGCGGTTTTGGCGGGAAACATGATTTTGCGATTTTGGCGGGAAACCGTGATATTGCGATTTTGGCGGGAAACTCGTGATTTTGCGGTTTTGGTGGGAAACCTTGGCGGAAAACTGTGATTTTGCGATTTATACCAAAATTGTAAAATCGTTTTTTTTTGTCAAATTTGTAAGATCATTCTTTTATGGTATTGTATTCAAATCCAACCAAATACAATTTTGGATTTATTATGTGGGAAAAAACATTTGATGTATAATTGTTTTTTTTTTTTTAATAAAGTGGGTTAACCATTGATCCAACCCATTATAAACCAAACCATTTCAATCCAATCCAATTAATCCATCACCCATGTGAACCATTAACCCATTTGGATCCAAATTTTTAATCCATTTGGATTAATGGATAAGATGGATTGGGTCAACCCATGGATTTGGATCCATTTTGACACCCTACCTGCGTGGCTGGTCACTGGTGGCAATCAGTCAACCCTATACAAGAGCCAGCCTCAGAAGAGACAACGTAGAAGCAAGCCTTTTCCATGCATAATTTGTCTACCTGTTATACCAAATGCCCACACGCAACAGCCAAGTTTATATAAAACCTAGCTGATTGCAAAAACTCAGCAACTCCTTTTACAAAAAAGAAAAGAAAAACGATCTGAGAGAATTGAGATGAAGGAAGAACTCAAGGGATCTATCCAGGTCTACGCTCCCATGAGGAGCATCTCGAAACACAACTCAGATTTGGCAAAGTTCATTGGGATTCTTACGACGTTTCTCGTCTCTGGTCTGTTTTACGAGCTTATATTCTTCTATACAACTCGTATGACGCCTTCAGGTAAGATCACTTTCTTATACGTGTTGCATGGGATGTATACTGCGTCGGTAGTGACGGCAGTGTGGAAACCGGGTGGATGGCTGTGGGCGGTGAGAGCAGCGATGGCGTTTATGGTAGTCACCTTTGGTTGGCTCTACTACCCTCAGATTAACAGAGCTACAAAATACAACACACCCATGAAACCTTGTCCTTCTTTAATTTCTTCGGCCACAAGCAATCTCTGATTTGGAAGATTTATTTTACCGGTTATATTATTTCGCCTTGTCGTTTATAGTTGTGACCTGTACAGATAGAATACATGTACCTGTTGGTTTCATGAACAAACACGTTAACTTCCTTCCTTTTTTGATTATATTCAACCAAAGTTTTTTCTATTTTGGCGTCGGTTGATATTCTGATTTTAAAAAAGTGACGCCACTTGACCAATCTCTTGTAGTGTCATTGTGTCAATATCGTATTTAACTACGTTCTGTTCATTAGTTATTCATTGTGAACAAAATATATGTTATGTTTGCTGATTTCGTCCATCGCATTTTCATTTCATAATTTTTATTTAAACTCATCTTGCTGTTCTTCGCAAGTAGGTTTTTTTTTTTTTTTTTTTTTTTTTTGAATTCTATGATGGGTTTGGGCCTTCGGCCTTAATCCCACCCCGGCCCGGAGTCAGCTTTTGACTGTACCATTTTACTGGCCCTGGTCACTCCTCCCCATCGAAGATTCGAACCGGTGACCTATCAGACAATTGCCTGGGATGCTGCCAATTGAGCTAGCTCGTCTGGGTTCTTCGCAAGTAGGTTTGAGATCGTGAAATAGTTATGATGGAACGGACTTTAATTGAGGAACTAAAAACATGATTCTAATAATGTTATTTCTGGTGACTTATAATCTGATACACCTGCAAAAGGGCCAACCCTCAAACAGGCAAAGATGCAATGGGTCGAAGGCTTATATATAGGGTTCATTAGGGTTGTAATTACTTTATCACACGAGTTAATAAGAAACCCTAGAACGGGTGTATTCCCCTCAATTGTTTTGTCTTTCTTGCTTTTATTCGTACCTTGATTCACAACAAATAACCAAATGATGTAGTGACCGATAGAATTTGCGGAATCAACTGTATAGTTTTGAAATGCCCGATTATGAGATTCTTGAGAACCTTTTGTTCTCTGACAAGAGAGAGAAAAAATGCAAAAGTTTTGTTGACTATATAATTCAGTAAGTTACAAACCAAAGTATCGAATCTATTAATTGTTGTATATGAAAGACTAAAACCCTAGTTGATTATAAAAGGCAAAACTGAGCTTATCAAGAAAATGTAAATGGTACTAAAATAAAAAGGAAAAATAACTAAAAATCATAATCAAAACACAATATTTTGGAGACACGCAAGATCAGTACGTATAGTAGACGAACACTAATAATCTTTAAATAGTATTTCGTTTTACTTAGGTTCCCTAGTTTTCTAAGAGATAGACTGAGAAAGCCGGAGAAATTAAAGTTTTTTGTTTATGCAAGAAAGAAATTAACTAAGCTATCGATCATTCAAAACCAAGTTGTTTCAGGCTAAGCAACTTTCTGTAGTCCAAAGAGCTGGTTGAGTCAAAGGGCGGGCATCAATTGGAATTCCGTAAGAAAACTAGAAAAGAGACAGATCACAAATGGTATTAGAAAACAAACGTACAAGCAAAACCAGGTTCGTTGTCCAATTATTCATAACACGCATTTAAAACTTGTATGTGTCGTTGGGTACGTTATAGCGCACTGTCACATGTTTGGGTTAGTGTTAAACCCAAAATGATTTTGTGTTTAAGAGGTCATTGAATAGTCCATAATGATTATGTGAATAAGCAGTCTTCGATTTAATTGATAAGCAAAATATACGTAATCCCTGTTACATTGCTTGTTGAATGCATTAATGATCCAGATAATCACTGAGTATATACTCATTCGTAACTATAGATGTCTATGAAATACATTATAGATTTCATATACGATATTAAATACACATACTATATCTTTTACCAATCACAATTTGGAAAGAAAAAGATTAGATTTTTTTTACACAAAAGCCAGCCTCATAAAAGAGAACGTGGGAAGCAAACATGGTCCTCCATTTTTCTACCTGTTAACCACCACATGCCCTTATTTGTCTATTCATTCCGGTTACTTTATGTACACGCAAGAACCAAGTTAAAACCGAGCTGATTGCAAACACTTATGAACGCAGAAAAAAGAAAGAAAATAAAAAGATCTGAGAGATGGAGGAAGAACTCAAGAGATTTATCCAAGTATGGCTTTCTGCAATAGTCTCGGTATGTTATTGCTACTACATAACTCCCAGAATCAAAGCTGGTGCTCCTCGGTTTTTCTCTATTCTTCCCGTCTGTGTTCAGTTCTTTGTATTTCCCATGCTCTTCTCCTCTTCGGTATTCATTTACCTCATAATGTATTTCCTAACGCTCATGGGATCTGTAAAGCTCATGCTCCTTGCCTTTGATAAAGGTCCTCTTTTTCCACTTTCCCCAAATCTCCTCCAATTTATCTGCTTCACTTGCTTCCCGGTTGATAAACTTGAAGAAAACCCTAAATCCCAACCTAGTTCCACCAACAAAACCTTCAAGAATTTCGCCATTAAATGTGTATTACTTGGAGTGTTATTACATGTCCTAAAGTACAAACAAAACCTTCCCACAATTATATTTTGGGTTCTCCAGCCTTTTTGCATGTACTTGCCACTTGAGATTATATTAACCCTCATCAAGTCTTTGTTTACTATCATTCTTGGCTGTGAGCTTAAGCCAGTGTTCGATGAACCATATTTAGCCACTTCTCTTCAAGACTTCTGGGGTCGCCGGTGGAACCTCGTGATCTCATCTATTCTCGGGTCATGCATCTACGTTCCCATACGGCGCATCTTCAAAGGCAACCCTGGTTTGGCTAAGTTCATCGGTTTTTTTATGACGTTCCTCGTATCTGGTCTAATTCACGAGGTTCTACGCTTATGCACATCTCGCACACTTCCTTCAGGGGGTATCACTTTGTTCTATATGTTACAAGGGGTTTGTACTGCGGTGGAAGTGGCTGTAAAGAATTCAACGTTTGGAAGGCGGTGGGCGGTGAGACCAGTGGTGTCTTGGTTTCTCACCATGTTGTTTCTGTTTACGACCAGTAATTGGCTTTATTTCCCTCAAATCACAAGGGGAAAGACACTTCAATACTGAAACATTGTTGTGCTTTAACTTCTTTCGTTCACAAGCAATCTGTGATTTCGCTGATTTATTACCATTACGTCTAAGTATGAAATAAAGCTAAAAGTATATCTGTACGTGTTTTCAATAATAAAAAAGTTATTGAGTTGTGTTTCAGTTCAAATACCTCGTGAATACAACACATGTTGTTTGTTGATTTTGTGCATCGCAATTTTCTTTTTATTCTTTTTGCGGTGACAATAATCGGCAATTTCGGAACTGAATTATTTACCAATCATATTATCTGTGAAGTTGTATACGTATCTCATGCTTGCCATTGCGATGGACTTCAGCATTTTTTTGGTTTTTGTTGAACAGGTCAATATCATAGATTTTACACGAAGGAAAAATTTAACCAAATACAGAAAAAGTAGTTTGTTAATTATGAGTCGGAATATTCACATTACGCAAATCAATCTGAGTTCAACAAAATTGAAACCGTTGGCCTTAAAATCGTTTCAAACTATTTGAAAGTTTCTATGCAAAATTTAATTTATGAGCAAAATGATGTGAAACTATACGAGGTCCAATTTATAATACATATAAATATTTTATTCTAAAATCGGAGTTCAGCATGAATGCACATGGCTTAAAAATTAAAATACACTCCGACGATACCTAGCTTTCAGAATTATGCTCAAGCAAGACACTAATTAAAAGATTGATCATTTGATTGACGAAGAAGGAGAAATAAGCGTTGCTTCTTTCGCAAGAAATGAAAAAAATAAGATACCGATCATCCAAATCCTAGCTTAACTCTCACGAATAGGTAATCTGTTGTTGCTGGTTTAGCAACTTTCGCCGGCGCCAGTTGAGTGTAAATACGGACATCCATTGAAATTTCGTAAAAGAGAGACATGACAGAACTTGTTTTAGAAAACAAAACGTACAAACAAACCAGGTTTGTCCAAAATTTCTTCATTTGTCTACCTGTTGATAAGCACATGCATGCCCTATACGATATTCCCATGTCTGTAAAAACAATATAGATTGAGTTAGATATATCATATTAAAAATGATGCTTCTGATAATATCCAAGATAATATTATAAGTGTTTTATTTTCCGATCCAAGACAAGAAAACCAAATAACATATTTTTTTACCTATGACAACATGGGAAAAGAAAACGATGAAAAATTCCTTACACAAGAGTCAGCCTCAGAAAAGAGAACGTAAAAGCAATCCTGGTCCTTCATTTTCCTACCTGTTAACCACATGCCCATATTTGTCTATTCATTCCGGTTACTTTCTATAACGCAACAACCAAGTTAAAACCTAGCTGATTGCCAACACTTATGAACACAGAAAAAGAACGAAAAAAAAGATCTGAGAGATGGAGGACGAACTCAAGAGATTTATCCAAGTATGGCTTTCTGCAATAGTCTCGGTATGTTATTGCTACTACATACCTCGCAGAATCAAAGCTGGTGCTCCTCGGTTTTTCTCTATTCTTCCCGTCTGTGTTCAGTTCTTTGTTTTTCCATGGCTCTTCTCCTCTTCGGTTTCCATTATCTTCATAATGTATTTCCTTACCCTAATGGGATCGCAAAAGCTCATCCTCTTTGCTTTTGATAAAGGTCCTCTTTTCCCACTTCCCTCAAATCTCCTCCATTTTATCTGCTTCACTTGCTTCCCCATCGAGAAACTTCAACAAAAACCTAAATCCCAGTCTAGTTCCACCAAATGGAGTTTCGCCATTAAATGTGCATTACTTGGAGTGTTGTTACATGTGCTAAAGTACAAACAAAAACTTCCCCAGATTCTATTTTGGGTTCTCCAGCCTTTTTTCATGTACTTGCCACTTGAGATTATGTTAACCCTCATCAAGTTTCTGCTAACTATCATTCTTGGGTGTGAGCTTAAGCCAGTATTCGATGAACCATATTTAGCCACCTCTCTTCAAGACTTCTGGGGTCGTCGGTGGAACCCCATGGTCTCATCTCTTCTCTCTTCACTCATCTACGCCCCCATACAGGGCATGTTCAAAGGCAACTCCAGTTTGGCTAAGTTCATCGGGGTTCTTACGACGTTCCTTGCATCTGGTCTGTTTCACGAGCTTCTATTCTTATCCACATCTGGTGCACCGCCTTCAGGGGAGGTCACTTTGTTCTATGTGTTACAAGGGGTTTGTACTGCGGTGGAAGTGACGGTGAAGAGATCAACGTTTGGAAAGCGGTGGGCGGTGAGACCAGTGGTGTCTTGGTTTCTCACCATGTCGTTTATGGTTGTGACCAGTGTTTCGCTCTATTTCCCTCAAGTTACAAGGGGAAAGACACTTGACTTTCTTTCGTCCGCAAGTATTCTCTGAATTAGCTGATTTATCAATTATTACCCAGTGTACCGATGTACGTGATCAATATGCAAATGTAAATGACTCATCTGCACAAACACCTTTGGAATAAAATCGGTTTTGTTTGTTGATTTTGTCCATAGCAATAATCGTCAATTTGGAGCAATGTTTTATTTACTTACCAATCATATTATTTTGTGAACTTGAAATAAAATTAAAACTAAATTTTCTAGCAAACAAAAGAACGAAAATCTTTTAACTGTTTTTGAAAAATCCAGTGTTTGTATACATATCTCGTACTTTCCATTGCCAAGGACTTCAGCGTGTTTTGTTTTTGTTAGGCTAGCCTTTTTGTTATTGATCACGGGTCAATATCATAATTCTTATTCATAAGATAGCCTCATGCTCTAAGTATAGATGGAGAGGGACAGAGGGTAGAGACCGAATAGTAGAATCGGAGGGAGATCGATGCTGTATGTACGTAATCATACACATTTATCAGTTATCACCCAATCAGTTAAGTATAGCAATATATATACATGGAAATGCATACCTGAATTTTTAGTTTTATTTGATTATATTCAACCAAATACTGTTGTTGAAAGCAAACATGATACACTATTTGCGATTGCATCCATTTAGAAATCCATTTCCACATTTAGGTGATCATAACCGAGGAAGTGGATAAACTTGCGTCTGAAGAAATCAATGAGCAACAAGGTTTCATTGACGCCTCTCTCTATCGGGTTGCACCGTATAAATTGAGGGAGAAAGAGCCAAGCACCGGTAACAACGAAAAATACCATTGTCAGCAGCCTTGACGCCGCTGGTCTCACCGGCCACCATCGCTGCAGAATCTTCCTCCTCTTCACCGTAACTTCTGCGGCCGTGCAAAGCCCATGCAAAACAAAGAACCATGTGATCTCCCATGTAGGCGTCTCTCGGATTACATAAAAGTAAAACAGCTCGTGAGATAGACCGGAGACTAAGAACGTTGCCAAATAACCCATGAACCTACCCCAATCTGAGCTCATGAGGCCATTGCTGACATGCCGTGCAGGAATGTAGACGCCAGCCCGGAAACTTGCAGAGGCTAAGAGGTTCCAACGGCGACCCCAGAAATCTTGGAGAGAGGTGGATAAGTATGGTTCACTGAACTGTGGCTCGAGGTCGCTCCCAAGAATGATGGTAAAGACAACTCTGAGGATCGTTAAAAGAATCTCAATGGACAAGAGTACAAACAGCAGATGGAGAACCAATAGCAGAGTGGGAGGCAGATTTGGTTTATAAATAACAATATGTGACAAGATGGTAAAGATTGCAACTTTAATGGGGAAAACCCATTTGGGGATATGATCATGAGATTTAGGGTTTTGTTGAAGCTGGATGGGGAAGCAAGTGAAGCAGGTGAATCGGAAGAGATTTGAGGGCAGTGGGAAAAGAGGACCCTGGTCAAACGCAAAGAGGATGAGTCTTAAATTGGCAAGTCCTGACAAAAGAAACGCTGCGATGGAAGAGAAAATGGACAAGGAGAAGAAGAGAGGAAGAGCAAGAAACAAAGCACAAACAGGAAGAATAGAGAGTAATCGGAAAACACCAGCTTTGATTTTTGGTGGTAAGTAGTAACAGTAAGATACAGAAATTATTGCACAAACCCCCACAAAAACCAAGCTCTTGAGTTCTTCCTCCATGTCTCTCAGATTTGTGTGTGTGTATGCTGTGGCTAAGCACAGTTTTTGCAATCTTTTAACTTGGTCATTTGTATTAATTAATTAGGAAACCCTAAACAGAAATTTAGGGCATGTGCTACTACAACGGTCCAAGTTAACTTCTACGTTGTGTCTTTTGAGCCTCTTAATTACGAAATTTCAGTGGGATCTACGATAGAACAGAACACTATTATTTCATTCTTAAGTTCAAAGTCAAAATACTTTGTTAGACAAGATTCCTTGCTTAGTAAGGGTGATGATTCTCTTACGCAATTTCAATGGATGTCCGCCACTGGCTCCACCTGCTGGTTCTGGTTCAATAAATCTATGTAGTGAGCCAGAGAGGAGATTCATTAAAACTTAAATATTTTGGAAAAACAGAGCGTGGTTCTTTCACCATCTCCAACCCCTCATGCTATATATTTAGAGCTGTCAAAATGGGCGTTCCATGTCCATTTTGGCCCGTCCAATAATGTCCATTTGTTTTATGGACAAAATATTGTCCGTGTCCATTTAGCTCCATGTCCATATTGGACCATGCCCATTATGGCCCATCAAAACTGGGCTGTCCGTGGGCTGTCCATAGACAAAAAATCAATTTTTTTTATTATATATATATTTTTTTTTGAAAATCGATTTTTTTTTTCTGCGCGAGTTAGGTTTAGGACTTTTACGTGAAACCCGAATCCGAATCCGAACTCGACCCGAAAAACCTAAAAAATCGTAAAAAACTTTAAAAACCCAAAAATTCGTAAAAAAACTTTGAAAATCCGAAAAACTCGGAAAAAAATCCGAAACCGAAAAAAAACTTAAACCAAACCCGAACTGAAACTTTAAAAGACCCGGACGATTTATATATCTCTAAACCCGAAAACCTAAAATCCGAAAAATCCGATCAAATCCCGAACCAAAACCCGAAAACTAGGCCTGTCAATCGGGTCAAACCCGCCCCGCCTGACCCGCCCCGCACATATCAATATTTTTTTTGACCCGCTTTGACCCGTCCCGCCAAATTTTGAACATATTTTTTTCGACCCGCATCCGCGCCGTTTAAATCTGCAGATATCCGCGGGTAATCCGCAAATATTAATAAAATAATAAAATTTTAAATTATATATATTTTTAATAAAAAATTACAAATATTTTTTTTAATAATAAAAATCATTAATATTTATTTTTTAAAAGAGTTTTTAAATATTATTAAATAATTTAAAAATATTTCTGAATATTTTTTTATTTTTTCGATAAATTAAGAACAATTGTTGACTAAATAATATTATTTAAAAAAATTGAAATTAAAAAAGAAAAAAAAATTGGCGGGTAACCCGCAAACCCGCGGACTAAAATATTACAACCCGCACCCGCATGACCCAGCTAATTTTTTTTGAATTTTTCTCGACCCGCACCCGCCCCGCGGCGGGTCAATCGGGGCAGGACCCGCAGTTCGGGTCTGAAATTGACAGGCCTACCGAAAACCCAAGCTTAACCCAGATTATGAAAAATGATTTTTTCTCAAATCAATTTGACCTAGATATTTATGTCTATTGGACAGCCCATGTCCACAGTGTCCGTCCATATTTGTCCATGGGCTAAATTGGACATGCCCAAATTATGTCCATATTGAAAATGGACTTGTCCATGTCTGTCCATTTTTATATGGACATGGGCTCGCCCATGGGCCGATGTCCACTTTGACAGCTCTATATATATTATTGCAAATGGAAAAATATAGCAATAGCATTGGGTTTTTCTCCAACCCCTCATGCCATATATCATGCTATAATTTTTTTCAACTTATTATTAATTGTTAAAACTACTTGATTTCTTCAAATTTTACAAAGTGAATCATTTTTTTTTTTTTTTGCAAAAACAACCAGAATAATTATTTTTTTTATTATAATATTAAAACAAAATACATCATATTACATAAAAATTATAGAAAACAAAGATTTTAACCTATTGTTTTATGTTTTTTGAATTTCAGTATTTTTAAAAATAAAATTTGAAGTTTATTATGGTTATGTTTTTATATTTCTATGAAATAAATATTATTTATATTTTGAAAAAGTTATGAGTATTGTTTATTTATTTAAATAAATCATAATCAATATAATTAAACTGTTAAATTAAAAGTAATTACAAATTGAAGGACTATTTTATAAATAAAAAAGTTCAATGGCAAAATAGCATATTGCATAATCTCATGCCAAATATAGAAGCAAAAATAGCATGATGCTATTTTGCAATAGCATATGCAATTGGGTTGGAGCAAAAATTATGGCAAAATAGCATATATGTCATATTTAGCATGAGGTTGGAGATGATCTTACTAAGCAAACAATCTTGTCTAACAAAGTCTACTTGCAAAATGCAAATGCATATTTTTTGTGGGCTGTTTTCAAAAGTAGTACAAAAATTGAGGTCAAATGCAAAAGTAGTTCACTCTTTTTTTCTTCCTTGTTTATCCTCACCATATTTGTGATAATAACGAAAATGCCATTACTTTCGTCCTTGAAGTCTAACCGTGAAGTCTAATACAAAATAAAAGTCCAAAGAAACCTCATCTTCTTCATTTATTCACGAAAATGCCATCACCATCAATTCGTCCAACAACCATTCTCAACCAAAATCAAGCTTTGAATGCATGATTTACTCTTCAAATATATATACAAACTCATTATATCATCTCATAAACTTGTATTCTTCAATTTCTTCTCCATTTTCACCCCAAGAACACACATTTTCATCTTTTCAAAGTTTATGTTCTTAGATCTTCCCATTTTTGGTGTGGGAGATCATTATAACGGTTGGGGAAGTTTGCTGAAGCTCTAAATCGAAGTTCTAGGCCGTCAACGAAACTTAAGATCACGGCAAGGTAAAATTCCGGTAGATCTGAGTGAATTTCATATTTTTGCAGGTCCTTAGACTTCATAGCGAAGTCTAACAAACTAGTTTTGCAATTGATTTTCAAAAAATTTAGAGAGTAGACTTCACAATGAAGTCTACCCATATTCCTTTGAAAACAAAAAAATATGGCGTAGACTTCAGAATGAAGTCTACTCGAAAAGATTAGTTTTGCAATTGACAGAATAAAAACTTTTTATGAGAAGTCTATCCGTGAAGTCTGCTTGAAAAAAGACTAGTTTTGCAAACTTTCAATAGTTTGTTTTATCGTGAAGTCTACCCCTGAAGTCTATTAATGTTGTATTAGACTTCATTCAAAGTCTAATACTGCGTTAGACTTCATTGTGAAGTCTAATAAAGGGTTAGACTTCATTTCGAAGCCTAATTCTTGATAGACTTCTTGGTGAAGTCTAATAGTCAACGTTTATCGGAGTAGACTTCACGATGAAGTCTATTTTCAAATTCAAAAATTCGATCAATTGCAAAACTAATCCCTATGAAGTCTAATTCTGTTGTAGACTTCACTGGTAGACTTCATTCTCTAGTTAGACTTCATTTTTAAGCCTATTCACGATAATGAAGTCTATTTGTAAAAGTCAAAGCTTGGTCAATTGCAAAACTAGTCTTTTTTTTTCGGTAGACTTCACGTGTAGACTTCATAAAAATTCGTCATTTGAAAATTGCAAAACTAGTCTATTAGACTTCACAGGGAAGTCTACTAAATAGACTTCCTCGTGAAGTCTACTATTTAATGTTTTATTTGAAAACTTTTTTGGAAAATATATAACGAATTTTTAAGATTTTCTTGAACAATTAGTTGAGTTAGTCTGTTTAGTTGCTTGTGTGTTAGTTTGACATGCTTATTCGTTGTATATTTCGTGAAAACGGTTTTCTTGTGAAAATTGAATATTAGACAATACTAGGTAGACTTATAGGTGAAGTCTACCACTGAAGTCTATAATGAAGTCTAATGCGGTTGGTTTTTGTTTACTTGCAGAAAATGGTATACATTGCATCTGTTTATGGAGAATGGGTGAGAAGGACAATTTGTAAAGTTTATTTGTGAAGTCTACACATAAAGTTTAACTATTTATTTGAACTTGGTCTATTTTAACTAGGTAAACTGCATAAAAAATTCTTTTATATGGTTTCATTTTAAAGCCTAACTGATGAAATCTACATAAGTCATACAATACTCATTGGTTTATCTTTAAATATGGTCATCTACTACACATTCATTACATAATTTTTTCTGTTTTATACTTTCAAGCTACAACATATAAAGTTGTTATATAGAAAAAGTTTGGAGTCAATATAATATTTACTGACGTCTGCTTATGATGTATGTTCTCTATGTCTTAAAATTTTATTACTTGAAACTTAAACAATGTATATCAATAATTCCAAGTTGGTTTTACAACATTTTACATCTACTTCTACAAAGCCGCACATTCTTCTCATCTGAATATCAACTGCCATCTCACTTGCCACCATCGAGTGATCGAGGGCTCCAATGTGTCTCCTACATTAATCTTTATGTGTCTTGATCTGAAGAGCATTGACATTAGCTGCTACTTTAGAAAAAAAAACAATATCAATCCAACGAATAAACAACGAAAAATAGTAACAAGTAGTCAATAGACTTCAAAACAGATTGTAAGATCCCAATTACTTCTCAATTCACATATCAAAAACTCAAATCATTCAGCTAAAACCAAATCAAAAACTCTAGCATAGGATTCTATTCAGGATTAAGAGAAATCGAGTCAACATCACCATGCAATCTACATGCTCAGTTAAAATGATCGAAGAAAGAAAAAATGATAGTTTTACCACAGAATCAGAGAACTACAACACAATAGTTATGCATATGTACAATGAACATCAAGCTAACATGATAGTATAGACTAAGACTAAGAAAAAAGCAGCAGATAATCCAATGAATTTGATTTGGAAATTCGACAAGTAAACAGGAAAGCTGTACCTAGACAAATCTGCAGCTTATCAGTGAGAAACAAGCGGGGTCTTTGACATACGATCCGCAACTGAATCCAAGACATCCTCAAGCCTACTTCAGT